CACATCCCCTTCCCCTCCTTATAAATAATGGTATATTTTCTCACAGAAAAAGAACTGAATATCAGCCTGCATGAACAAAATGAATTGCAAAAACACGCTACAACAGCCGTTCTTGTAATCCTTAATGTGACAGCAGTACATTCTGGACAGTATCTGTAGAGCAATACATCTGAACACCACCCTGAGGAAAAACATTAATATAACATTAAGGAAACAAAGGAAATTTATGGTTTTGTTCTTCATGATCGGGTATTATTATCACGGCTTTCTCAGTTGTCAGTGTAATTCATTTTAATTATTGATATAAAACATTTTATTGTTACATGTTGAGCACTAACCATCATAACAACTTACAGGTGGTTTTCAGCCTCAGCTTGGAGCTACAGTACATACTGAGAATCATAAGGACTTGTTTTGTCAGACAAATTCCAATAGTTGGTCTAAAATTTTGTCTTTAAGGTGTCACCGGAATGCCAACTGTTAAACAAGGCGATGCTTCAAATCTGACCTGCAGTGTTGACCGTTTCCATCCATTTAACATCACATGGACACTTGGCTCCAACAAAAACTTGCAAAAACAAAGCCCTCAGAATGACACTGGAAAAGCCACTCTTGTGGTCCATAATGTGACGGAAGAACATGGACAGTACGTCTGTACAGCAAAACACCAGGATACAACTCTGACTATATATGCTGAAGTAACTGTGAGATGTAAGTAGACTGTAGTTCCCATTTGAGAAAAAAATATGGTCCTGTCAGCTTACTGTATGTTTGGTGTCATGTTAAGGTTATTCTTGTGTGTTTGCAGTTCAGTTGAAAAACCGGACCGATGTGTGTGTCAGTGAGAAGTTTCCTTTACCCAACATCAAATGGCCAATGTTGAAGAATGACACTATTACTACCACTATGTCAGACCATACAGACTACAGTGTATCTGCAGAAGATTACAACTTCACCACTGTAGAGTGTATCAGTAGCACTGATTTGGGGAAAGCACAACAGAACCAGTCATCTAATGGGTCATATCTAGACAGTAAGTGTTGACCACTAAAATACCTCTCCGACTCTAGATCACTGATTTATATTTTCAATACCTACTTTTTAAAAGTGATTTTTTTTTTTTTTTTTACAAAAAGCAGCATATTTCCTAACTTTTTATTATTAATAAACAATTTTTTCCTATTGATTCCAGATCTACTCCAGAAATTGTCAACAATTGTTCAACAGCCACAAGTCATCATTGCGTTTTTGACTGGGATACTTCTTTCAGCAACCATCTGCTGTTTGGTCAGAAAATGCCACAGGTACGCTTTTAAGTTTCTTTTTTCTTTTTGACATCCATTTTTCTTAGTTTTTTTGGCATTTTGTTGTTTTATTCATGCAACGATAAAGCCCTGGTCATGAGGACCACACCAGTATTCAATGTCTATTCAAAAATACTTTATTAATTTTATCGCATATCATGAATACTTTAAATTAATGTATAACCAACCAACTATACCATTGACAATTTTTAATGTGTTTAATGTGTAGGTTATACATTAAAAATGATCTTGTAGAGACTAGAAATGTGCTTGTATTTGTATTTTTTTATAACATATATCCGGGCCAAAACTTTCTGTTCAATGCACAGCTCATTGTTTACAGTCTGATAAGCAATCTCGGAATTCATCAGCTATGCTCTGAAGACCACTTGAATGCGGATAAATTTTTGATGGGGATGGAAAACTGGAACAATCATAGAAATCCAGGAGCACATAGAAACCCCACACAGAAAGGCCAGTTGGCTTTACTGCTGAGTCTCTGTGTTACATTTAAATTATAAATAAAAACAATTGTTGCCTAGTATAAAGGAAGAACACATTCAAAAATCTAAAGATTAGCAGTCACGATTATCTGATTAAATGAAGGTGTGGTGTCCGAACAAATTATACACTACAAAGGTTATCAATTTTTGGCTGAAACATTTAATATTGGTCACTAATCCTTGCTTGTTAATTGTTGTTAGTAAACATTTGTTCCTGTTTAATTAATTTCCCCCCAGAACAAAACAGAAGAGCTCTGGAAATGTGGCTGAGACTCTGGAGATGGTGACTACCCAAGAAGATCCGCTGGTATTTATATTGACACAGCTGGTTATTACATATTAGTTAAATGTTAATTGAATAATTTTTTAGCTAAAATCTTGTGGTGATCCATAGTTTGTCATAAAAATCAGCTTGCAGAGACTTAAACACTGGCAGAGTTCTCTTAGCAATCTAAAAATAACTCAAATAAAAGCAGGTATGATTATTTTAACAAATTACCAACAATATTCAAGCTGATTTTTAAAATCCCATAGACCATTGAGTAGAAACTATCTGCAGCCTATAGATAATCAGGGAAAAAATTATTCAAATTCTTTTTTTGTTCAGCTGTAAAATGAAAAGAATAGTAATTTTTGTGTTTAGACATGGCTGAACATATTAAATGTCACTGATGGAGAGACTTCATGAATAATGTCCAGTTGTCTGGCTTGTATCAGCTGGCAAACGACAGATCATTTCTGCGTCTACCTGACAGATCAATGCTGGTGAAGCAGTGGAAAATGATGGGACCCATGACCAAGAGGCAGATGAAGGAGGAGCTGTGGCTGGGCAGTCAGCCCCTGGAGGTGACGTGGAGCCAAAAGAGGTGGAATACTCCAACATTGACTTCTTTGTGTTGAAAAGGAACAGTCCCTCAGATAAGACACAAGAGACCACAGAGACAGAGTATGCTGAAATTAAGAAAGGAGATAAAGAGGAAAGACAAGACAATGGCCGAGAGGGCGGTGAAATGTTTGAGGGCAATGAAGAGGAGAAGGTTATAATAGGGGAAGAAAAGGAGACAAAACAGTGTATGTCTGCAGACGAGGCGGAGGGAGTTGAGGATGTGCCAGTGTACTCCACTGTGAATGAAGTAATGGATGAGATTTGAGGACTGTGTAGCTTAGTGGAGCAACTTAATGATGCATGTCTTTCTTTTTGTGGTGAAATACAACACAGGTGATTAAAAACACATACAGTGAGACGGGCAATACGTTAAACATAGGATAGGGCATGAGTTTATAGAGTGCAGATATGTATGTTTGAATGTGACACGTGTGGTATTTTTTAGGAGATTATTTGGCCATGTTTTGGTTGTGCTTGTGTGTTCATGAGGCTGATGTAGATGTTGCGTGTATGAACAAAAAAAAATACATGAATAAAAGGTTGTGGAAGAAAAGAAAAATGTGTGTACATGTGTTGTCAGTACCTACGACAAAGTATCCATAAATTAAAAGAAGCAGATAGGTGTTAGGCAGATGTGTTACTAAAGGGGCCTGGGCAGAAAGGATGGCAGAGGGCATTGAGTTCCCAGGGTTAAGGTTCTCATCTTTTCTGATGTGATGGCTTCTTAACATGATGTGTAAATGACAATCCTGAGTGTATTTTTTACAACATCACTGTGCTCTTAGCCTGGCATTATCTGTTATCAAGACATGCCGACTCTTCCACATGTTGGGGATGATGTTCATTCAACTACCAGTCCATTCTAATCACAATATGAGGCGACACCTATTTCATGTTCAAAACAAATTTAATCCACACAATCACAGCTTCACATGACCGATCCCCCATTAAGCCATTTTATATATGCAATATTGCCAAAAGTTTAAGGACAACCCTCCGAATCATTTAATTCATATTAATTGTATACAATCACCTAGGCATGCAGACTGCTTCTACAAACATTTGTGAAAAAAATGGGTTGCTCTCAGGAGCTCTTAGAGTGTTTCCTTGTTTGTCTATTGTTTGTGCTATGTTTATGCATCCATGACACTGAACACTAAATAGTTCCTCATAGTAAGGCCAGTGCCTTGCATGGTCAATGATGCCATCAGTGAGTACTTTGGATGAATAAAGTGGATGAATATATATATATATACAGTATATATAATTTTTATTCTACTTTACTTTATCTACTTCCTGCCTTGGTGCCTCTCAGCAGTAGTATGTACGTATCCAGACCAGTAAAACACTGCAAGATTAAGTATAAACTATGAGCTTTCAGTGACAAGAAAGCCTTTGTTCAGTGTTCTATATACAGACTGAATTGCAGCTTATTAGCTAAGATAGTTATAGTCTAGTAGCGCAGCGTGAGAACGGGAAGTTATCAGAGACACTGAAAATACAGTGATGCTATATAAGGATATAAACAAGTGAATAATTGTAGTGACTTTGCTGAGAACAATACATACATATATAGCAGAATACACAAATGCAGCCATTCTTTCCATGGGGCTTAAGCTAAAATGGAGAAACATAATGAATGCAGATATTCTGCAGATATTTAGTGAGTTTATCAGTAACAGAAGTTTGTTTTTTTTCACATGTGAATATTCTATAGTCATTACTCAACTAGAACTGCAGATATTAGCCAGTAACATAGTACTATAGACCATTCACTGTCACTCATCATTCTTTGCACAGTATGTATTATACATTATACTGTACACGGGTGTTGTAAATAAACTATAATGGACCAACAAATATTCACAATTCAAACTCACTGAGTCATGTATGAGCATGAAGAAAAGATACTATTGGCTGGTTGTTTGTCAAGATGGTTGGAATATTTTGTGCAACAGCCACAAACTTCCCCTTTTTAAAAGCTTTGTAGCAGGTCACAGTCATGAAAATGGTACAACCCCACCCTATTAAAATGATTTCCTATTCCTTTATTATTTAGTGTTGAAAAAACAAATTCACAAAAGGATATGTGATGCATTATGTGAGACTGTGAGATTATTGCAACTGCATGATAATTGCAGCCTGATGAGAGAAGTAACAATACACTGCGTTAAATGCTTTTGCACAAAGAAGGAAGCGGTAGAACAGCGATGAGAGGAAGAGTCGGTTTAGATAAAAGTCACACAGTTGAGATCGCTGTGGAGAGAAGAGTGAAAGGGAACAAGAAAAACAGGTAACAACATTTACCATATTTTCTAACTGCATTTATAAATGAAACTGAAGCGCATGATTATGCCTCAACTAATTTTAATACATTTCTTTTTCAAATTACTGGCTTTGCTTGTGCAGTATGGCAGACTGTAGTTGGGAAAGTGTTTGACTAAAGGTGAACAGGGGCCCTGGGCAGAGCTGTTGTTGAGCTGTTGCCAGGGGCCCAAAATGCAGCCCCTGGGGAAAGTGGTAACCAAATGTATTCACATGAGTAAAGGTGAATTTTATAACATCCTGTATTAACATCTGCGCTGTCTGCTTTGAAGATGTTTCTGGTTCAGTTTGATCAACCAAAATTCCTCTATGTTAATTACACATTTTATATAAAGTGTTTGTGCTTCTGAGAGACAGGATTTTATACTGTGGAGGGAGAGACTGTCTCAGTCATCAAAGTAGGATGTTTGTTCTCATCTGGGCGACTCTGTTCTTCACTGTGTGGAACGACAATCCAGGTATAGTGTGTAAGTTTATTGAAACAGTGTTATAAAACCAAAATCAAATGCCTATATTTATTTTTTAAGATGCTAAATGTAAATGCTCCGCTTGTGTAGCGCCCGCCTTTCTGACCACACAAAGCACTTCTACACTACATCGTATTCAAGTACTCAAACAGAAACTAACATTCACTCACATTCTCACACACATACTTATTGCCCTTTGTAATATTTAACATAATTGATTACTATGTTAGTCCTACCTGCAGTGAACAATAACCTTCAAGTCTGCTTTTCTTTCTACTGTATATTTGCTCCCCTTTAGTTCTGAGTCAGCAGCCCACGTTGACAACCCCTCCAATGACAGGGGGACAGGAGACCAAACTGACCTGCACGGCTCCTGGTCTCTGCTCTGAATCTGATCTTAAAATCACCTGGATGTGGCGAGGAAGAGGAGAGCACAACTCTCATATCACAGGAAACATCACAGCCAATCAAGGAAAAAACTCAACTTTGACCTTTATCTCTTCAGCTGAACACCACGCTACAGAGGTCACCTGCAGGGTCAGCTGCACAAATGACATGGCAGAGCAGAACGTGACTCTGAATGTAACCTGTGAGTAAACATATTTTATGGTATTCTCTCACATTTAATTTTTACTTGGCAAAAGATGCGCTCCCAGCTAAGTGCTGGTGTTCTGAAACATCAGACTTCAACATAATTTGGATGCAGTAAATCATCTTGTGGGTAAAAGTGTTGATATTTTGAGGTTTATACAAAATTATGAGTTTCTTTGTACATTTTCTAAGATATTTTGTGCTTCCTGTTTTCTGTCCTGTGCCTTGATGGAGGCCCCAAAACCCTTAAGGAGCTAAGGACTCTTACAATTTGCACTGGTTGACCATCCATGTGTTTTGACATATTGTCTTTGTATCTGTTGTCATTTGGTCCCAGATGTTAAGAAACCTGAAATCACTGGAAATGCTACTCTAAAGGAGGGTGATACTCTGACTCTGACCTGCAGCGTTGAAAGCTTCTCTCCATCCCGTATCATCAACAAAACCCTGCTCAATGAAACCATAAAGGAAAAGAATTACAACGTAAAGGCTCCTCTCATCATCCACAACGTGACAGCAGAACATTCTGGACAATACATCTGTACAGCAGAATACCTGGGAAACTCTCTGGCAGAACACATTAATGTAACAGTGACGTGTAAGTACACTGTACAGTACTTAGACAGAAAGTGTGATTTTGTTTTCTTTGCTGTCATGTGCATGAAAAGTGATTTTTTTTTCAAGTCAGAGTAGATGTCACTGAATTCATACTGACTATCTTTCACAGCCATTGCCTTTAAATGTATAGTCTGTGTGGCCCTTTCCTGGTTTTTAATTTTATGACTTCTACACCACTCATAGAAGAATTTCTTTAAATTTCTCTTAGTCATTAAATTACAGTATAAAACTAATTTTGAGGTCTTACCAGAACCAACTTCCCTTTTTCAGGCCTTTGAAAATATTTCAAGGCTTCTGTGGGGCTTCAGACTGGAGCCTTGTGTTAAGAATTTTTTTTAAATTGCATTATCTGATAAATTTAAATATTTTGTCCAAATCTTGTCTCAAAGATGTCAAGAAACCTAAAATCACTGGGAATTCAGCTCTAAAGGAGGGTGATACTCTGAATCTGACCTGCAGCGTTGAAAGCTTCTCTCCATCCCGTATCACGTGGACTAAACTTGGCTCTAACGAAACCCTGCTCAATGAAACCATAAAGGAAAAGAATTACAACGAAAAGGCTCCTCTCATCATCCACAACGTGACAGCAGAACATTCTGGACAATACATCTGTACAGCAGAATACCTGGGAAACTCTCTGGCAGAACACATTATCATAACAGTGACGTGTAAGTACACTGTACAGTACTTAGACAGAAAGTGTGATTTTGTTTTCTTCGCTGTCATGTGCATGAAAAGTGATTTTTTTTTCAAGTCAGAGTAGATCTCACTGAATTCATACTGACTATCTTTCATAGCCATTGCATTTAAATGTATAGTCTGTGTGGCCCTTTCCTGGTTTTTAATTTTATGACTTCTACACCACTCATAGAAGAATTTCATTAAATTTGTCTTAGTCATTAAATTACAGCATAAAACTAATTTTGAGGTCTTACCAGAACCAACTTCCTTTTTCAGGTCTATTTTCAAGGCTTCTGTGGGGCTTCAGACTGGAGCCTTGTGTTAAGAATTTTTTTAAATTGCATTATCTGATAAATTTAAATATTTTGTCCAAATCTTGTCTCAAAGATGTCAAGAAACCTAAAATCACTGGGAATTCAGCTCTAAAGGAGGGTGATACTCTGAATCTGACCTGCAGCGTTGAAAGCTTCTCTCCATCCCGTATCACGTGGACTAAACTTGGCTCTAACGAAACCCTGCTCAATGAAACCATAAAGGAAAAGAATTACAACAAAAAGGCTCCTCTCATCATCCACAACGTGACAGCAGAACATTCTGGACAATACATCTGTACAGCAGAATACCTGGAAAACTCTCTGGCAGAACACATGAACGTAACAGTGACGTGTAAGTACACTGTACAGTACTTAGACAGAAAGTGTGATTTTGTTTTCTTTGCTGTCAGTGCTTGAAAAGTGATTTTTTTTTCAAGTCAGAGTAGATGTCACTGAATTCATACTGACTATCTTTCACAGCCATTGCATTTAAATGTATAGTCTGTGTGGCCCTTTCCTGGTTTTTAATTTTATGACTTCTACACCACTCATAGAAGAATTTCATTAAATTTGTCTTAGTCATTAAATTACAGCATAAAACTAATTTTGAGGTCTTACCAGAACCAACTTCCCTTTTTCAGGCCTTTGAAAATATTTCAAGGCTTCTGTGGGGCTTCAGATTGGAGCCTTGTGTTAAGAATTTTTTTAAATTGCATTATCTGATAAATTTAAATATTTTGTCCAAACCTTGTCTCAAAGATGTCAAGAAACCTAAAATCACTGGGAATTCAGCTCTAAAGGAGGGTGATACTCTGAATCTGACCTGCAGCATTGAAAGCTTCTCTCCATCCCGTATCATGTGGACTAAACTTGGCTCTAACGAAACCCTGCTCAATGAAACCATAAAGGAAAAGAATTACAACGAAAAGGCTCCTCTCATCATCCACAACGTGACAGCAGAACATTCTGGACAATACATCTGTACAGCAGAATACCTGGGAAACTCTCTGGCAGAACACATTAATGTAACAGTGATGTGTAAGTACACTGTACAGTACTTAGAAAGTGTGTTTTTGTTTTCTTTGCTGTCAAGTGGTTGAAGAAGTGAACATTTTTTTAATTCAGAGTAGTGCTCCCTGAATACATGTGACTATCTTTCACAGCCATTGCATTTGAATGTATAGTATGTGTGGCCCTTACCTGTAATATTAAGACTTCTACTTCTCCCATAGAAGAACATCATTTAATTTATCTGTCATTAAATTACAGTGTAAAACTAATTCTGAGATCTTGCCAGAAACAACTTCCCTTTTCAGGCTTATTTAAATATTTTCAAGGCTTCTGTGGGGCTTCAGACTGGAGCCTTGTCTTAAGAATTTTTAAAAAAAATTGCATTATCTGATCAATTTAAATATTTTGTCCAAACCTTGTCTCAAAGATGTCAAGAAACCTGAAATCACTGGGAATTCAGCTCTAAAGGAGGGTGATACTCTGAATCTGACCTGCAGCGTTGAAAGCTTCTCTCCATCCCGTATCACGTGGACTAAACTTGGCTCTAACGAAAACCTGCTCAATGAAACCATAAAGGAAAAGAATTACAACGAACAGGCTCCTCTCATCATCCACAACGTGACAGCAGAACATTCTGGACAATACATCTGTACAGCAGGATACCTGGGAAACTCTCTGGCAGAACACATTAATGTAACAGTGATGTGTAAGTACACTGTACACGGTAGTGCACTATGTGTATAAAACTAATTCTGAGATCTTGCCAGAAACAACTTCCCTTTTCAGGCTTATTTAAATATTTTCAAGGAAGAATTTTTTTTTGTAACTGCATTATCTGATCAATTTAAATATGTTGTCCCAACCTTGTCTCAAAGATGTCAAGAAACCTGAAATCACTGGGAATTCAGCTCCAAAGGAGGGTGATACTCTAAATCTGACCTGCGATGTTGACAGTGTCCCTCCATCTGTTATCATGTGGTCTAAACTCGGCTTAAACAACAACCTGACTGGACTTGTCCAGCAGGGTGCTGGAATGGCCATACTTGTCATCCCTAACATGACAGCAGAATATTCTGGACAGTACCTCTGTACAGCAACACATCAGACCAAAATCCTGAAGGAAGGAGTAAACATATCAGTGATATGTAAGTATGCAGTACTGTTTTTACACAGAAATGTGCAGTTGAACTCTTAATTATGAGGTAGATGATACTTGAACATTTATGAATTTAGAGCCAAGAACAACCTTTTTAAAATCTCCCTAAATGCATGCTTAAAACCTTCACACCCCTGGTTTTTATACCGTTTTTCCATTACCACTACCAGCTCAACCCGCCTCGACTCGGTTTTGGTCCTCCGTTTTCCATTGCAGATAGTTACCACAGATAGTACCCCTCAATGTAGCTGGTCATCATAGCAACACCACACACACAACTGCCGCAACAGTAATGTTCAATGCGACACACACATCAGCAACCCATGCACAGCTGTCTCTTGATTTAAGTTAACCCTCTACTGCACACTATTTGATGGTACATGAAAAAAAATATAACACATAATTTCTTGGTTCATTTTGGGACATTATAATGATAATGATTTTCTTTTGGACCTTCCCACCCCAAAATATTAAAATAGATATATACATTTATATCTCCTTGTATAATTTAATTACTGCCAGCATTTATTTATTTACTTAATTTTTTTGTGCATTTAATCGGATGCTTATATATTTATTGAGCATTTATTTATTTCTGTATTTATTTCTGAATGTGTCAGGATCAGTCCTCCATAAAGACTATGCTCAGACACCAAAATAAAATCATAAATCTCTTTTAAAAATGGCAAGAAATCATTTCGCAAAAAGGAAACAACACTTGAAACACATTGATCAATTGGATATGACACAGGTTATTGTTATTGTTATTTATGTAATGACATTTCACTCTCTGTAAAACTTAACAAAACAGTTATTTATTACATTGGGTGTTCCTGTGTGAGGTAGCCTACTGTCCAAGCGGACATCCTGGTTAGGGATAGGGTTGGGTATCATTTTACTTTTATCGATTCCAAATCTGATTCCCATTCTACTTATTGATTTCGATTCTTACTGAATCTTTGTTCTGGTTCCAACCCTTTCACCACAGATCTTGTCAGCGTTCTGTGACCTATATCCATTTTCTCCTTGCTCCTCTTCCCCTTCATGGCTAAAGTGAGAGTCTACTGTGTACTAGAGGGGGGGAAAATATATTGGAATCATTTGTAGACATCATTCATTTCCCTTCAGTATAAATAGTGAATATCAGCTCACCTGTTTTGTAGCTGGGTGTGAGACGTTGAGTTTTTTGACGTACTGCATAACAAATGACGTGAAATTAGGTCCAGTTAGCAGGTCCTGGCAGATAATTGACACTTTTTTAAACAATAAAACACTCACTTCATTTCAGTCGGGAGCATCACTTAAACATGCAGAAAGTTATAGAAAATAATAAAATGCACGTTTCTTATCGAATCCACAGTTCTTGGAAATGGTTCATGCCCAACCCTAGTTAGGGGTCATCTGCAACTCCAACAAAATGACTTTCACAGATCGCATCCTGATTCACCCCTTCTTGGGTCCCTGTCAGCTAAGTGACGTTGAGTGAAGCGAGCTATGTGCTCTTGCTCTTTCTTAGACTGGGCATTGTCAAGGAGTTCTCCATGCGGTCGTTGGGAGAGGCCATCCGCGTCCAAGTTTAGCTTACCCGCCTGATAGTATTATATATAAATGATAAAGTTTAAAGGACTAGTTAGACAAGGCCACAAGCCATCTGTAACCGGTGGCATCTAACTTTGTAGAGATAAGAATGTATGTTAAAAGATTACTGTCTGTGACAACAGTAAATTGATTCCCATAAAGATAGTGGTCACAGACCATTTGAGGGTGAGAAACTCCAGTTTATGGGCCGGATAGCGAGACTCGCTTTGTGACAGCCGTTGACTAGCGAAAGCTATGGCCCCAAGCCTGCCTTCCTGTTCTTGGTATAGCGCTGCTCCATGACCAGTAGTACTGGCGTCCATGTACAGGATATAAGGCTACTTGGGATCTGCAAAACCGAGAACAGGGGCTGTGGTAAGCTTCTCAACGACGGTCTCAAATGCTCTCTGGCAATCACATCTGTCAATGTCCATTGACCCTCAAAGGGTTGTCTGGGGTCATGATATTGATCTGTTCTTGCCTTGTATTTTGAATTTTTGCAGAGTGGTGGATATCCGTGAGTTAGATCATTGAGTGGCCTTTTATATGATGCTTCACCTTGTCTGTACATCCAAAATCCAAATTGTGGTGAGCAAAGACTTCTGGCATTTCATTCAGCTTGTTGGTGATACGCTCCGCTTCCACTCCTGTGGTATTGGAGAATCGCTACAGCTCAAGTCTGAGTTTGTTTCTATATCAGCTGCATTGGTCACATTGTGTTGTGATAGAATGCTGTGAAAAGTTTCAAGCTCAGCGATGACACAGGTAGGTGAGATTGTGACATCCTGTTTCGATTCATTTTTAATTACCACAGGCAATGTAACAGGCAACTTTTCACACAAAGGCCACCAGGCAACGATGACTGGGTGGGGTGTTCTATGATGACCCATTTGTCTGCAGAGGGGTCATGAATGTTGGCTGATCCCTCCAGAATGATGGTGTGGCCTGCAGGAATGACAGCTGGGGTCTTCCCAAGCATTTTGACTAAACCTACGTTGCCATCTTTGTTCTGCTTTTTTTCTTAGTTCAAGTGTGTTTAGTACTACCCTTTAACCGTAATGACCTGGTCAGTGGTTTGGGGTCTTAATGTCTGAGTATATTGCATATATGACATCAAGTGTGTTTGTTCTTATCAACACGGGTGACTGGCTACTTCAATGTCAACTTCAAGAAAGTCTTTGGGGAATGTAACAGCCATCTCTATGTAATCTAGATAAGGGACAGATTGTCCGGCCGCACCTTCAACCTCTAAAAGATCATTAAGTGGTTTGATGTCTTGACCTGATAAGTTCTGTTTGTAAAATTACTCTGGAACCGTAGTCACCTGAGAACCAGTATCTGTGTCTAGTTTAACTGTTCGGCTGCAGCTGTAGGGTTTGATCAAGCGGGCAAGCTACTAGGGCTCAAGTGCTTGACCACATCAGCCGAGACCACTGAAGGTCTGATGTGGTAGGATCAGTCATGACAAGTTCTACACTGGATTGCCAGGAATCATAGTCAGGTTCATGAGCAGGTCTGGGGACCTGTCATGAGAATGCACAGTGAGGAATGCATCTGTAGTGCACTGTCTTCCCTTTTCACAATATGCTCCACTACAACTCTCTGAACTTCTGGTGGGCTGAGATCATGTGAAGTAAGTGCAGTAATGTTCTGGAGTCCAACACTTGGAACTACAGGTGGTGTTTGTCAACATCTGATGAGGCAGCTTTAATAGGAAGGTTAACTTTGGGAAGCTGTTCCAGGGTTTCTACAACATCTGATTCAGATTCTTCAAGAGCTTTTTTTCAGATGTAGGTGACACAAGATCAGCGATAGACTTGCTTATTTGGGACATCATGTCTTTGAGAACCTCGGCATAATCCCTCCCACTCAACTTAGCAAGCCCTTAAAGTTGGCAAGATAGGACTGAGTGGTGGTATTTCTCATTGTCTGTGTGTACATGCTAGCAAAAGACTAAACGGTAGGTAACACCACCATCATCAGCTGCGTGAATGTAAGGCAGTAGCGGCTTTAAGTTTTCCACCAAAACTCCTGAGTTGTACTCTATGATTAGGCTCTGGAAAAACTCTGAGGAACGGTTATGATTCTGATAATGGAACCGTACTGTTTTAGGAAATCTACAATTTCTTCATCTTTTTCATCTCCAGCTATTCCACTGACCATTACAGAGTTTGGAACTTTGATGTTGTGTTTCTGGACTATATCCATTTTCTTTTGTAGTCAGTGTTCAATGCAAATCAGTTATCTGCTCCTGGCTAGCTCGCCACTTTTATGTAGCCCACGGATCCTAACCCTACTAATGATTACAGACAGTAAATTATTTGTTAAAAAATATTACAGCCAAACTGGACCAGAATCAGAATTTTCTAGACTCGCCAAGGAGCAGAATGTTGCTTGCAATATTCAGTGACCACACAAGACAGTGAGTTATGAACTGGTACCTTGTATTGTTTTTAAACAATTGACCAAAAATAATATAACCATTAATATACAGTTCACTTTAACGAAACACCTCAGTTTCTCTCCCTTAACGAATTATTTCCTTTGGCATCTTTCTGTAAGGTAGAAATCACTGAGCTTGTATATTACCTCGATTTTTCAGCTGGGCTAAAATCACTGATCTTTTTTCAAGTATTTCTCTTATTTCTTACTGGGTGCACCCTATTATAAATAACTCAAATTAAATCTAAATCCTCAATATTCACTTCCGGTGAAGGACCTTATTAAACAACACCTGTTTCAAAATTATCACTTCACATCTCACATCAACTTCATAATCATTCGCTTTTCACTGTATGAGCAATAGTCAAACTACAATAACCAGGACATCATAGTACATCATATAAACCAAATTAATTCTCAGTTCTGCAGACACCAAGGATGCACTTCCAAAGGGATGAGGAAGGTAATTGTCCATTCAAAGTCCAAAATAAAAAAATACAGTCAGAGTGGAAGTGTGGGGTTGCGCAAGTGGTGCTGAAGGTTGAGTGTAAAAGTGGTGCTGGTTTTTTGCAGTTTATGCTGATTATCCTACCGCTGTGGCAGGACAGGGGTAAGATCAGCAGTACTTAGCTCAGATTTCCTCAATTCAGGGATCTTCAATCCAGGGATCTCAAGGTCTCATTTGGGTTGGCTTGCCATCAACTTTAACTCAGCTCAAAGAAAAAAACCTGGCCTGCAGCCAGAGTAGTTCTTTACTCAATAGCCTTCTTAAATGCATTTCTCAAGTATTCATTCCTTTAACTTTAACAAATATATACATATAAGGCAAATAGCAAAATTAACATTTTTTTAAATACCTCTTGCGTCAAATTAATTACTGAATAAAATAGACCCAAACTTCTATTTTGAACACTGGTCATACATTTTTAAATATAAAGAACAATGTTCAAATGCAACAGATTCACCATGAACAATGAAATAAAATGTCTGACAAAACATAACTTATGTAGCTTCAGTATTAAACAGTAGCTTTACCTGCCAGAAAAACACTGAGCATTTAAACACTCACATTTTTATATTCCCTCAACTGAGTTGTCAAACTGATAAACTTTAGTTGAAGACTACAACAGTAGGCTAATTGCACTGTTCATCACTCAGTGCTAATTTTGTTAACTGTAGGCCCATGGACTTGAACTCGCTAGCTTAGCCTAGCACCTCCTGACGCAGCATTTAATTTCTTTTTTTACCGTGACTCACCAATTCAGGGATTTCTCTCTTCGGCAGGTTTCAGTGAACAGGGTCTCACACACACACACACATCTACAGTCTTAAAAAAAAGTACACACTGTTATCACTCTTATTTGACAACTTATTGTGATTTTACTATTTTATCTGAGCTATGTTTTTACCGTTCAGAAACAGGTCCTCTCCCCACAGTGTCACCCAGCATCTGACTGGCATCTGCCTAGCCTGCTATGTTGCTGTAAACCTGCGCTCTCATTGGCTAAGACACTTCTGTGTTGTTAACCCTTTGTGACCTGGGTTACATCATCACGTCATTTTAAATAAGATTTCTTAACCAAATAATCTTGCCTTCTTCTCACACCACCTGCTCCTGTGACCAAGTGTCAGAAAAGGAAGTTCCGCCTTCAAATGATGCTTCATAGTGACTCCCACACCTTATTGGACTGTTTGTTGATAGTTTTTTGACCATTCTAATTGGTTGAAATAATTTAAAGAAACAAGTGCTGGATATGGAGCTTAAGAAAACTTGAAACGCTGTGCTGTAGAGGGTTAAAACATTTCAACATTACTCAGAATGTAAAGACAGATAAGCTGTATGAAAACCTGACAGCTGTTTCTTCTGCCATTGTTGCTGTAGCGGTCTCTGTGACCATGGGAGCAGAAAACTTTCAAGCACATTTTTGTTCGGCCATCACTTTTTGTAAAACTGTAAATATTTGAAATCTACACAGTTGATTCCTCACCTCAAAATCTCTCAGAAGTGGATTTAGTGATGAAATAACGTATGAAAACTGTAAAATATAAAACTTTCTGTTGCTGGCTCTGTCTGGGGCAATTATGATGCAGTGAATAGGGATAATTCTCTCTGACCAGTCAGCAGTCTGCTGTGTTTTCACGTCACATTTTAGTATCATCTCAGAACGCTTGGTGCCTGGTAGCAGATGCAAGTACTTTTATACAATGGAAAACCAAAAAAAGGTGAGTACAGTCGAGGCGAGGTGAGGCGAGCTGGTACCATGCAGTGGAAAAGGTGTTGTAATGTACAGTTAAGTCTGAAAGAGCTAATATTTTAAATATATGCGGGGCGATGTCTTGGTGGGTGCATTTTTCATTTTATGACTTCTACACCAAAATAAGGATTTAATTCATGGTTCAAGGTTATTTTTATAGTCCCATTAGGGGAAATTTGTTATGAAGAAAGGGGTTACATAATGACAGAATACAAAAGGGCAACATCGTCAACATTAGCAATAAACCCCATAACTGAATTCTAGTTATTCTATTTAATTTAATTATTCATTTGTATATTACAGATGTTTTAAGATCTTTCTTTATACTCCACCCAGAAGATACATTTTTCTGGTCATCTGTCTTAGTCTTGGTCTTTCAACCTCAGACTGAAGCGGTGTGTTCTGAATATTAGACATTGCAGCATCTGATAAATTCAACTTATTTGTTCAAAATGTTGCTTTGAAGATCTGAAAAATTATATAAAATTATTATGTTTATTATTATAAACATTTCCCTTTGTTTCTCCATATAAAGGAAATTTGTTTTCAAATTCTACCTTTTCCTCTGTCAGTGTATTCTTTATTTGATCTGTGATTCTGCTTTTTTTGCAGTGTATCCAAAGATCCTAAACAGCTCACGATGCATAAATCAGTCTGAGGGTCTGACTTGCATGTGTATCAGTCAGGGGGTTCCCGTTCCCACCATCAAATGGCCGCTGTTGGAGAACCACACCGAGTACACTCACATTATCACTGTGTCAAACCACACAGTCAACAGCACAGTCACCCTAACTGTAAAAGACTACAGTAACACTGTTGTTGAGTGTGTCAGCCACAATAGAAATGGAGAAGTAAAAGAGAACCTCATCATAAAAAACATCGAACAAAAAGAAGAAGGTAACTGCTCACCCTTTAAATGTTCTTTTCTCGAATCTTCTGTATTTTGACAACCCTTAATCAAACTTTACAGGTTATCCATAAAAATTAAGAATCAGCAGTGGCTCAGCGTTGATTTTCTTTTCTTCATTCCAGGTCAACCCATGAAATTGATAAGATTTATGACACGGCTGGAAATAATCATTGCATTTTTGATTGGCGTTCTTATTTCTGGCGTCATTTGTTGTTTGACAAGAAAATGCCACAGGTACACTATAAAGTCTTATTCATGTCTTGTTAATCTGAATTCCAGGATTTATTCATGATTAACTGGAGAATGCAGGCCTAACCTATAATTAACAAATACCTGCTTTCTATTGGTCTATTAATGTTTGTTAATCTATTAATCTCCTCAGACAAAAAAAGAAGACCTGTGGAAATGTGGCTGAGACTCTGCTGATGGTGACAAGTCACAAGGATTCTCTGGTACTTATATTTATAAAGCTGGTCTTATTATATATTAGTTAAAAGCCCTAACGTGCAGGATTTAACTGCAACACCTAGTGGTAGTGTTGAAAAGACACTATGGTAATCAGCAGTGCAGGAGTTTTCAGTTTGCCATTTGAGGTGATTCAGGCATCAAATCAGGATTGTCAATTGTTGGTGTTGTAACAGCTGATGAATTACTCTCACCATGTTGTACCGGACAGACAGATGCTGGTCATGCAGTGGAAGATTATCAGGCCATCTACCAAGAGGCAGCTGAAGTAGAAGGAGGAGCTGTGGCGGCAGAGAAATCAGACACGGACTACTCCAACATTAATTTCTCCCTGATTAAAAGAAAGATTGCGGCAAAGGCAGGGACAACACGTGGGACCACAGAGACAGAGTATGCTGAAATTAAAAAAGAAAAAACAGAGGCGAGACAAGATGGAGAGGACAAAGAGGAAGAGGATATGATAGGTGAGGATAAGGAGAGAAAACATTGTGTACCGGATGAGCAGGAAGGGGAGGATGTGGCACTGTATTCCAGTGTGAAGGATATAATCAAATTTGAGCACAGTGTTGTTTAGTTATTTGAGGATATTTGAGAAGTTATTTCTGAAATTTGTTCTGATTTGATGGATGATTGCTGTTATGTGTAATTGTTCTGTGTGTAGTTTCTGCAATGGAACTGTGATTATCAAAAGCCAACCTGCAGTAATGCTCAAATGATTGTTTAACAACCATAATGTAGTAGTTATTTGGTTAATCATCTCTGTTGCAGCACAGGAGGTTGGTTGTATTAGTATAGAATGTTAGTCTGTGTGAATAATTTATTATTATTTTACTCTATGTGTTATTGTTATTTAAGAAATAACTATGAAACCGGAAAGCTGAAATCACATTAAATAAATTGAGAATGTATTTGGATGTTTCATTGCCATTAAGGCAA